GTCTTGTGTGAAGGAGAGAAAGTGGAGTGAGCACTCAGTCAGTGAATCAGTGACACTAATGTTTATTAGTTTCTAAAAAGAGATTTCCACACTATTGTGATCTTTCCTTTTTCTCCCTATTGACTTTTCTTTCTTTTTTTTTTTTAACCAAATACCAAGTCTAATATTCACTTGGTTTCCTCTTCCTTTGCATGTGACTCTCCCATATCATTTCCACAAGGTACTAGATTTATGTGTATCAGCCCTGTTTCCAAAAAGTTATTTGTTGACTATGTGGATAGGCCAATTAAGAGGTATATGGAAATCATCAAGTCTATTTCCACATTTTTATTACGCAGAAACTGATTTCCAGACAAGTAATACAGTCAGTCAGAGACAAAACTGGGACTTGAGGCAAAGTTCTGCCTCAAATTGAATACTCTTCTCACTGTACAACATACTTGGTTGCATCGTTGGCCCAAAAAGAATAAGTGTGTATCACTGGTTTGGGCCAAGTATATTACTTAATTCAAACCAATATCATCTTATACATTTTTTTTTTTTTTTTTTTTTGAGACGGAGTCTCGCTTTGTCGCCCAGGCTGGAGTGCAGTGGCACCATCTTGGCTCACTGCAAGCTCCGCCTCCTGGGTTCACGCTATTCTCCTGCCTCAGCCTCCGAGTAGCTGGGACTACAGCCCGGCTAATTTTTTGTATTTTTAGTAGAGACGGGGTTTCACCGTGTTAGCCAGGATGGTCTCGATCTCCTGACCTCGTGATCCGCCTGTCTCGGCCTCCCAAAGTGCTGGGGTTACAGGCTTGAGCCACCGCGCCCGGCCCATCTTATACATTTTTAATGACAAAATTGGGGAATCAAGAGATAGAAATCAGCACAGGATGGTGGAAAGACTACGCAGGCTTCGTAGCTAGACAGATCTAAATTTGATTTTAGGTCCTTCATTTACTAGCTACATTAGCTTGGGCAGGTTGCTCAACTTTTCTGAACTGGTTGCGACCTGAGAGTTCTAAGAATTAAATGCACTGAAATATATAAAATATCTAATGTATAGTAGATACTCAGTAAGTATTGGTTTCCCTTAATTCCCACTTGCCCCAAAAGAGCTATTCCACTTCTAGCAAATTCCTTTAGCTATTTGGGTCTCAGCTTCCTCAACTATAAAATGAGAAGAAACCAAAGGAATTCCAAATTCCCTCTCAAGTTCATCAAGAATTAATTCTTTAAAGGAATTTTAAAGAAATTCATATTCTTTTAAATTCAACAAACACTTAAGTACCTGCTAACCATCCTAGGCACTGAAAGATTCCAACCACTGCCAGAGAGGTATCTATGCATTCAACAGAATGGGATCCAACTCCATAGTACTTTAAGTTCCACGAAGAAAAATCATTATGCAAACAAAAGAACCCTAGCTTTAAGGAAAATGCTATGAGGATATTACAAACCTAATGATAAAAGTAAAAATATTTTCAGGGTATATCTTAAATTATTACTCTCTGTTTTTTACTAGGATGAAAAATGAGAACCAAGTGTTCATACACTATAGGTATGTAACAAAAGACTCAAGAAATACTTAAGAGAAATGAGTGCCATTTTTTCAAAGACAAAAAATGAGCAACAAACTTCTATTTCCATATGTGCATTATGCTACATCTTAAATTTTAAGATACTTGTATCATTCTGAAACACAGGGGAATAGAATTTATTCTGAGAGATTGTTTTACAGTGATAAACGGTAATATGAGAAGATATTTTTATATTGAACTTCTTATAAGAAATTCTACATATTACTTTTAAAGTTCATGCTTTGGATTTATATTACCTAAAAATAAAATACAATTTAATTTACTTTAATTTAAATGTCTGAATCTTGTAAGTAAGACCTGGGAAAATAGTAACTAACCTTAACTAAAAGTTATTTCTCCTTTTCTCTTTCATAAGTAAACCATTATTCGTGGATTTTCTGTTATACATAAAGCTTTTTGCAAATAACATTTCACATGTTTAAAAGACTATTTAAAATCATGATCAGGGCTCCTTATCTGGTTTCCCAAAAATTCATTTGAGGTTTACCTTGTTACCATACCTGTCAAATACTATCCACCTATACTGTAGAATTTTAGAATGCGTATTTTATATAATAAAATATCATCAACAAAAAACCTTTTCCTTTTATGAGTATGAAGATATACAGAAATGACCCATTTAAATATTATCTCAATATGTGAAATTAACAATATAATCTCTCTTTTAAGTGACAGCTGTTTTCTATGGCTTAATTTTTTTTGGTTGTGATAAATGATAATAGAGAATAAAGTATGTCCCCAACACAGGTTGTGTACAGAGGTCCAGAGAGTCACAGATACCTGCTTTAGGTATATATTTATCAAGTATAGGATAAACTAGAGGCAGAAGGCCTGGATCCCATTTCTGTTGTTGCTACAAACTTGATACGTGATTTTTGGACAAGTCACTTTATAGCTCTGTTTCTTCATCTAGGAGACAACAGGTGGAACTATCTGATGCCTGTAAGATTTTCTTCTGGTTTCTACTGTGTGGACCCTCAATACAGCATTTGAAGGGCACAGGATATGGGGCCAAAGCACTCACAGGAGAGCATTTACCTTGTGATTCTACTGAGACCAGCCAGCTGCAGTAGAGAGCCAGACACTAAATGGCTGGCTTTGTGCCTTGGCTGAAGAATACCATCTTTATATCCTTTGTGTAGGAAGACACTTAAAGAAATAAACTATTTTCTAAACAGAGTGAAAAAACAGGGAATGTCTGAGCCCTGTCAACCTGAGACCCTTTGTGTCCTCAGCCTTTCAACTTGGCTGCCAGAAGGCACTGAGTTCATTTAGGCAAACTATGCTTTCTGATCCATATGATTAAGAGAGATAATTCTGAAAATGAATGGTTTTCATCCTCAGTTCCACAGTGGCCCTCGAAAATACATATATTTTACACAGTAACTACATTGTTTATAGCAACCCCTAGGACACCTTCATAGAACAGAATTTGGAATGGTGGTACATATGATATGAAGTATGAAGTGGGCTTAAATCCTGGATCTGCTATTTTATTGCTGTGCAATCTTAGGCAAGAAGCTTAACCCCTCTGGGCTTCAGATTCCTTTTCTGAAAAATAGAGAAAACAATAAAACTTAACTCATAAGGTTGCTGTAAGGCCTAATCAAGACAGTGCATGCAAAGCAGTTAGCACAGAGCCTGACATAAAGTGAATGTTAGATGAAAAAGACAGATAAATCCTGGAACTTCAGGCTCCCTAAAAAGACTCGTTTAAAGGCTACAAACAGTTTGCTGGCAGTGAATGGCATCTGCTGGTCTTTCCTCTTCTGAGCAAACAGCATGGCAAAGATTCAAAGCTGGGCTCAGCTCTTACTAATAGGATCCTGCAAGAATTAGGAGGAAATGAGATTATCTTGAAAGTAGAAAAGAGTTAGTCTGGTTTAAGACAAGACCTTTAAAAGAGATAGAAACACATACAAAGACACACACACACATATATTTAATATGGTCATACAGAATCAGACAAAGGGGGTTATTATCCTTTATGCCTTCACAAGTGTTGCCAACATTAAAAGCTACAGAACTTGATAACTGGATGGCTCCCTAGAGACTGTCTAGTTCAACTCCCTCACTGGACAGATAAGTAGCTGAGACCCAGAGAGGTTACGCAACTTGCGTGAGGTCATTCAGCAGTGAATGGCAGTACCAAGACAAACAAGCATTCTGACCTTTCCCCCTTGCCCACCCAGTACTTGATCTGGCATCTTTCAGCAGGTCAGCATCCAGTCCTCGCTGTGCCAGGGTATTTAAAAAATAAATAGATAATCCACACACAAAGGTTTCTCACTCGTGTCCAAGTTCCCAAAAAGTACAAAAGCAATCTCAGCCCCTGAGACCCTCTTTCCCGAGCCTTCCGTCATGGGACTAAGGGATGATCTCAGTCCATCTTGGGCCCTCTCCTAAGCCCTCTTGGGTGTATCTACTCTTTCAGTTCCTTCCTCACATCCACTCTTAAAGGTTGCTTCCAGAAATTACCCCCCTCAAAGGTCAGGCACTTCCCCAGGCAGAAGTTAAAACCTGTTAATTTGCAAATTCTCTGCTTCCCTCAAATGCTATAGTTTGAGACAGGAAATACAGACTCCCTTAAGTTTCCTCCAGTCTCCTTGAGTGAATTCTGTCACAACTGATGCCTCCCTCTCGAATATAACTAGGTCCATTTGTAAATCATGTGAGTGTGTGAAGGGCTGGAGAACCCTTAGGTATGCCTAACACCGGGAAGAGGAGGAAAAGGCCACCAAGGAAGGAAAGATCAATTGCGGGGAGAGGGGAGATCAGTAGAAGGAGCACCCTGACCAAATTGCAAACTCTGGATCCCAGAGACAGCTAGCTGCTGGGACTGACTCACTGCTGAGGGGCCGGAACTGCGAGGAGATGGCACAGTTTTAATTATAAGCTCTGACTAACAACAAACCGGTGCCCCCAACTGCACACGTAGGAAGCAGGCAGAGGCTACCCCAAAGTGGCAGAAACAAGGAACTCTCTGTTCCTCCTGCTCCCTTTTCGCCTCTCATCTGAGGCTTGCCACTCCGCGGACACACCCGGCGCTCGCCAAGTTGTCGCATCGCCCCCGGTGAGGAACGCCCCTCCCTGCTCTCCCGACAGTTGGAGGGAAGCACAGAGCAGCGGGGGTGTCTCCGTCCTGCCGAGGGCTGCCGGACCCTCGCCCCGTGCGGGGAAACTGGTCCCAGAGAATGAATGGCTTTTCGAGCGCCGGAAGCTGACGGGCGGGGGGCGCTTCTCGCCCCCAATACCCCGCGCCCGCGTGGGGCGTCTCTCAGCCCGGGTCTCTGCTCTGAGGGTGAGAAGCGTTCGTGTCACAGCCAAGGGTTCCTTCCTCACACGTGCACCCCCCCACCCCCCCGCAAGACCGGAAGGAAAGCTTTTGCCTTCCCCCGTGCCCCCGGCCATCCCTACCTGAATTCCGGGACCAGGTTAGGCTGCAACCCGTAGAAGGCAGAGGAAAGAGTAACCAGCCACCCGGGCTTGTAACTCCCGTTCTCGCACTCCAGATAAGGCGGAGACCACTTGACATGGCTCTTGTCCCCGCCGAGCCCGTCCTTGCGCCGCCAGCTGTGGCCCAGGCTCCTGGGCCCCTGATTGGGGCCGCGGCGGTGTAAGTGGGGCCTCCACTTGCGCCGGAGGCCGTGAAACCACTCCGTCTCCAGGGTGGCGTTGGCCAGGTGGGGTGCAGAGGAGGAAAGGTCTTGGAGCAGGATGCGGCTCTCCTCGCGCGTGGCCTGGAGGAAGACCTGTGGGGCCGGCGCGGACAGCGACTCGGTGCTGAAGGTGATGGCCGCCCGGGAGATGCTGGGCTCGCCCTCCAGGAGGCTCCGCACCAGCGCCTGGTACCACTCCAGGTCGTCCTGCAAGTTCTGCTCCCGCGACTTATTGCTCTGCAGCATCATGTTGAGGAAGTTGGTGGCGTGTGTCAGTGTGTCCAGCGCCCCGTGCAAGGAGGGATGCGCACTGGCCAGGGCTGGCCACTTCCCCGGCAGGCCCGCCAACTCGTAGCGGCCGGAGCAGTTGGCTCGCTTCAGCTGGTGGGAGTCCCCGGTGTAGAGGTAAGAGGCCACGTCCATGGGCACCTCCTCGGCGAGTTTCTGCGCCAAGATGGTGCCATCGGTGGAGCGGCTCCAGGGAGCCGAGGAGTCCGAGGCAGAGGCTCGAGCCGGCTGCTGGGCGTGCGGCTTCCCCCTCGGGGTCCTCTCTCGAGGGGAGTCCGGCCGTCCCTGGGGGTCGCGGCTGGCGCCAACAGCTCCCAATCCCAGCTGAGCGAGCAGGAGGCAGAGGAGTAAGGGGTAAGCCATGGCTCCCATCTCCCTCGCAGAGAGAAGAGGAGGGAACGGGGGGGAATCACTTTTTAAATTTGGATCGTCAATTTTCAACAGTCAGACTTTTTCCAGGAGTCTTCCCACCTTCTCCAGATGGCACCCAGTCCAAAGGACTTGAAATTAAGAATGTTTCGAGATTGGTCCCGAGTGGCTAAGCTACCGTCGCAGAAATCAAGTCACCTGTGGCAGCGCTGGCCGTGCCCGCTGCGAGAGGGGCCGGCTGGGGATTACGCACCTCACAGCCTGGAGCCAAGCGGGTTACATGGCCTCGCGCTCCCAGCGGCTGGAGTCAGCCCGCGTCCGTCTCTCGGCCCGGCTGCCGCCACCGCTGCTCTCATTGAGGCGCGTTCAGAAGCTGCTGTTGCTGCTGCTGCTGCTGCCGCCGCGGCCGCCGAAGACGCTGCTCCATAGTCTCACCCGCCGCAGGTCGTTCCCGCCTCCCGGCTCTGGCTCCTCCTCGACCGCTTTGCCCGGAGGCGCGGGGCGCGCGCCCAGACCCGCACCGCGAGCGCAGCCGCGAGTTCCGAGGAGCAAAGACGTCCTTTAAGACGTTCGTCTCTCCGGAGTTGGGAAGGCCGGGCGGCTGGTTAATTGCAGCCTCTAGGTTTGGCCGCAAACCACACTCCAGCCTCTCTCCTTGCTCCCGGCTCGGGGGAGGAAAGCCAGTTTAAAGAGGCAGTTTGGCCGCAACCAAACCCTTGTAGGGCGGCTGCAAGTCGTCTTGTCCCCTGTTTGGTCGGCTCCTCTGTCAATCAGCCGACTGCCATTTGTGGGGCCGGGGCGGGAGCTGTCCAGTGCTGAACCCGAGGCGGCCCGCGGGCGGCGGGGGCGCGGGAGGCAGCCTGCCGAGTCCTCGCACCCACTCGCGTTCCGGATGACTCGGAAACCTGCGGGGGTGGCGTAGGGTGGGCGGGAGAGGAGGGAGAAGCTGAGATTCCGTGGCTCAGAGCGAAGGAAACTTGGACGTACTGAGGAGGAGGGTGTTGGCGTCTTGCATGCTTAGTTAAATCAGCCTTTTGCCTGGAAAAGAGGGAGAAGGGAGTAGTTTTCATTTCTAGGTGAAATCGGACAGAAGGGACATAGGATGGTGACTTGTCCTCCTGAGCATCTGCTCATTTTAGGCAAATTATCAAATCCTCTTCCTTGTTGTCAGTTAAAGAAATGATTTAAATATACTTGTCTAGGCTCATCTTAGCTGAGGGAGTAATGGAGAAATCTACCAGCTGTGTTTTAAGGAGAGAAAAAAAAAGTCATATTTAAGGAATCTCTGTCTGGGGGCCAGAATGGAGGGAAACCTGTAAAACTGTATGCAAGTAAAGATGTGTAAGGGAGAGAGCAAGGGGCAGGACTCATGAGCTGTGGGAGAATGAGAAGGAGCCTGTGTAGAGTGAGAAGTGAAATCGTCCTGACTGGGAGTTCCTGGAACTGAGAGATAAGAACTAAGACTTCTAGTTAGCTAAAGGTTGGGATATCCCAGCAGAAGAAAGAAGAACTGAGCAAGTATGCCAAGCCCCCCAAATTATTGGTAAATTTCTTACCACAATCTAATTGATGTTTTGACGCTTATTAGAGAATTTAAGTGTCTTCTGACACTCCAAAAGTAGACTGATACCAGATATGTAGTGTTTTGCACAGCTAGCTCCACTTTCCATATGCATGTCTATTTTCAAATTTCCCAAGAAAGACACAAATAGAAAATCTCCAACTTACTTTAATTCCCAACTAATAAAAATGTCCCTTGTGGCATCCTAAGCAGGCACTGCTTAGATTCACTGTACTATTTTATGTCATCCTTCCTATTGAGAAAATACTTAGGGACTGGAATGTAAGCCCCAAAAGAGCAAAAATCTTTATCTGCATTGGTCAGTGAGGTACCTTGAGCACCCAGAACGCTACCTGGCACATAGTAGGCTTTCACTAAATAGTGGCTAAGTCAGTGAATGAACGGGAAGATCATGATGATGAAGTTCACTTAAAAATCAATCTCCTCACCCAAGAAGAGAAGTCTGCCTGACAGCCAGTGATGAGGGTTTTTGGAAGAAGACACAGCAACCAGTGTTTCAGACTGCAGTGGTTGGTCTCCAAATGAGTTTTTATAGTTATGCAAAGAGTGGTTATTAGATTTGTATTTACTTACAAGTAGATCTCATGTTCATATCCGACTTTTTGTTTAAATTTTGCTTTGCAATGTATGCTCCTATGCTAAGTAAAGGTCATCCCATTTTAGTGCTCTGCCACAGTATGGGTGGCAATAATAACAGAAAGAGTTTCTGCTTGTCTAATGTATCAAAGTATACACTATGGTTTTCCATTTACTTAACCATCTAAAGGCCAAAGTATAATTTCCTCATTCATTGATCTTTTTAGAAAACCTACATAACTTATTAACAATTCTTTAAAATTCTCTAGTATCTAACTTAAAAAAGAAGACATACTTGTATTAGTAGATCCTTCTATAAGTAATCCAATGAACTAAGCACAATCAAAAGACCTGGATTCTGGTTCTAGCTTTATTTTAAAGGAAGATATGTGACCACTGGCAAGACATTTAACATTTCTGTGTCTTGGGACACAAACTGCGTGTCAGCCTCGGGATTTCGCATTGAGTTTGTACTGGAGAGGCACCTGAGCTACTCTCCCAGGGTACCAATCCTTTCACAAGTGCACATCTAATGAGAAAGATGCAGACTATGGAGACTTTTGCAATTCTAGTATTCCCTTCAATGGATCCCCTTCAACCTACATTGCCAAACAGCTGGGATGAGCTAGTTGTATCTAGAACAGCACTGCACAATAGAAATACAATGTGAACCAAAAGTAGGATCCTTATAAATAATTTTAAATGTTCAAATAGCACATTAAGATAGTAAAAATAAAAAGAGTGAAATTAATTTTAATAATATATTTTATGTAACCCGATATATCCAAATTGTTATCATTTCAATAAGTAAACAATGTAAAAGTATTAATGATATATTTTACACTTTTTACACTAAGTCTTCAAAATCTGATGTTCACTTTACACTCACAGCACAAGGCACTTCACACTAGCCACATTTCAAGTGCTCACTAGCCACCCGTGGCCAGAGGCTACCCTAGAGTGCAAGCTCTAGAAGACAGTCCATTACAGTCCAGAGTGCTAAGAAACCTAGGTCCATGCAAGGTAAGGCACAAAGTTCCAAATGCTCTAAGGGTTCTGGTCCATTTAATAGGTCTGGAATCAAGGTAACTGAGTAGGTAGACAATCCTACGTCTATGTTAGTGTCTATCAATAAATAAAATAATCCAAAAGAGGTTCTTTTAAGGGATCAAGGTTTAGCACATACACACACACACACACACACACACACTCCCCAAAGCAGACTACAAAATTCTACACCATCTTGCATAAGACATATTCATTCATTCAACCAGTGTTCATTGAGCCTCTACTATGTATCAGGCATTGTGCTTGGTACTGGGACAAAATAGGCACATCTTCTGGCTACGTGGCTCTTACAGCCAAGTGGGTGGAGACAGAGCTAGAGATAAAAAGGCAAACAAATAAATAAGACAATAGCATGTTGTGATAAGTACCATGAAGAAATAAACACTGCAAAATGGTAAAGCATGCATGGTATGGGAGCAGAGAACATATATAAAGAGATAAAGGAAAGAGACTACGAGGAGGTAACAATTGAGCTGAAACCCTAAAAATGAGGAGTAACTGCCTAGGTAGTATGTAATAGTGAACCAGATAAATGTAAGATGGTAAGAAACTTACCTTAAGTTGAGGGAGTAGTAAATGGATGCACTAAGAATACAAATACTCTATCCTTGGCAGGAAAGACAAGTGGAAAAAAATAAATGCAATATGCCAAAGGTCATATGTAATAAGAATAGAATAAACAATTGACACAAAGGAAAATCATTTCATAAGGTAAAACAGGAAGTGGGGTGGGGATGATTATCTCCTTCCCCCAATTATAGAAGCATACTTTGTAGATAGAGATAAATATCCCTATGCATGCTGCTTCAAAATTAAGAGCTAAGTTGTCTAAATGAACATTTATACTGCGTAGGAGCTTTATTGTATTTTAATGGAACTATTGGTACATGACCTGTGACCCTGGGTGGAAAAGCCCAAGGAGTTTTTCAACACAGCCTGAAAAGTCAATCTAATTGCTTTAGAACAACCAAATTTGCACTGATGAAAAAGTAGTATGTAATAGACACATGGGTTATTAGTTGTCTTTATATGATTGATTTATCACTATTATAAAAAGGAAGATGTGACATTAACATATCTTTAAATAAAAGAAAAAGGTCACAAACTACTGAGATCATATTTTAAGTGAGCAGTATAGGTTGAGTTTTAAAAAATATTTAAATGCAGCTTTAAATCACTTAAATAAGCAAAGATTAAGACTATAGGACGTAGTGAAAGGGCACTGGATTGGCCATTGAGAGACCCAGCTCTAATTGGTTCTACCATTTTCTAATCATGTGACTCTTGACAATTCTTTCAACCTCCCTGAGCCCTTTTTCTGCATCTATAAAATAGGAGTTCTGTTCAGATACACAATCCACAACTGGAATAATTACAACTAAGTGTGAATCATGCTCTATGTACATTTACCAGGAACTCATTGTTCCTGGTCCTCCCAGATTTATAAGGTAAAAGTTATCTTTCTTTCTTTCTTTTTTTTTTTTTTTTTTTGAGACAGAGTCTCACTCTGTCACCCAGTCTGGAGTGCAGTGGCATGATTTCGGCTCACTGCAAGCTCCACCTCCCAGATTCACGCCATTCTTCTGCCTCAGACTCCCGAGTAGCTGGGACTACAGGTGCCCGCCACCACTCCCAGCTAATTTTTTGTATTTTTAGTAGGGACCAGTTTTCACCGTGTTAGCCAGGATGGTCTCGATCTTCTGACCTTGTGATCTGAGCCCCTCAACCTTCCAGAGTGCTGGGATTACAGGCGTGAGCCAGCGCGCCCGGCCAGTAAAGGTTATTTTTAGATTAAATAATAATGGATCTCAGTAAACAAGGTAGCACAGCTCCAGTCAAACTTCTGATAAGGTAAATAAAACTACAGACAATATAGTTTTTTAATATAACACAAAATCAGAAATCCAGTTGTTATTCTTGAGTCGACTGAGATTGGCTCCCCCCAAGCATATGTTATCCCTGTGTCTCATGTGCTCATTTGCAAAATGAAGATCATCGTCTTTGCTATCCAAGAGTAATGGTTTTGAAATTTCAGGATGCAGAACTATCACCAAAGAATTCAAATTTGTGATCTGGGTGAGACTTTAGAATCTGCATTCTCAGGTGATTCTGATACAAATGATCCGTGGAACACATGCTGGGAAATACTGCCCTGCCTTGAGCCAAGGAAAATAACTCTAAGATATTAGGAGAAAAGTTGTTTCATTGTTTGTTTTTGTTTTTTGTTTTGTTTTGTTTTGGGTTTTTTTTTTTGTAAACACAAAGTCTTACTATCAATTGTGAAATGTAGCCTGTGAAAAAATAAAACCAGTAAAAAGTATTACTATTATTATATTTATATAGCAC